TCGCATGCGACTGGCGAAAGCTTACTAGCCTTGCGAGCGAACAGCAGGATCCGCTTCCCGAATTTATCATCTGTCATGTGTTCGCAAAAAGGGATGAACTGTGTGGCCCGCCTGAACGCCATTTTACAGCAGACTACTGCCTTATATAACACCTGGAAGTGAATTGGGCGTCAGAGGGAGAGGCAGATTGGTAGTCTGGCTACGTGCCCCTCACTGAGGCAACCGAACGGGCCGCGCTAGCGTTGCCATCGAACCGCCGCGCTACCGTACCTTCGAAGGCGGATGTTGTTGCCAACAACATCCGCCTTCTGACGACACTTGGGTCCCTTCATTACGCATGAAATGTTGGAGAAATGAGCATTGATGAGGAAAACTAATGAGCAATCGCTCGGGCCAGTCTGGGAAAGTCGTTTTCAAGCAAGAAGTATCACTGTTTTTACTTGGATATTCATCGATAAAAACCGTTTTTGGCAGCCTTTTCTTCATCAGGTGCTTACTTCAATAGTGAGTTACGCTGATCAGGTAAATCAAACAAAGTACGCACATGAGATCAACATATGCTATGTAGTATACATTCGGGCACCAAATATGTACTACATAACATACATATCCAGCAATCCGGTTTAACGAACATATGTTAAAGCATCCGGATACTTCGGACGCTTCGCCGCGGTCCTGCGACAAACCCCCACAAAAACCACCGCCGCCAATCACACCAAATGTCACGTGTCTGGCACACGTGACCCGTCCGATGACGCGGCGTCGCCGGCAGCGGCGTGGCCCACTTCCCGCGGCGCCCATGACCGCCACCTCTATTTACATAAGACGCCGCGCCGCTGGCCGGCCGCCCGCCGCTATAAATACTCACAGGCCGCGGTCCTTGAGGCGTCCGACCTGCAGACACGCGTGCAGCCCGATGCTGATCTCGGTCAGCGCGTCCGCCATCTTCTTCTGGATGAGCTGCGTGTTGGCCAGCGGCCGGCCGAACTGGCGCCGGTCGAGCGTGTACTGGCGCGCCGTCTCCAGGCACGCCTCGGCCGCGCCCAGCGCGCCCCACGCGATGCCGAAGCGAGCGTTGTTCAGGCAGCCGAACGGCCCCTGGCGGCGGCGACGGAGGGACGCTCAGGTCAGGACCGGCCGCGGCGGGAGGTGGCGGGGATGGCGCGCTCCGGTCGCCGGCGACCACGCGGCCGGGCCGCCGACAGCGTGGTGTCAACGGGTTACGCTAAACCAAGACCGGGCACGCCGATGCAGGCAGGTGCGGTCCCTGGCAGTGAGTGCCGACAGTGTAGTGGCTAACGCATCTGCGTTCACTGCGCGACTGGGAAGCCAGAGGCACAGGGTTCGATTGCGCCCGGTGCTCACCCTTCCTGCCCGGGTGAGAGGCAGGCGACGCCATATCGCCTCCGCGTCTGAGTGCGCCGCGAAGCCCCAGTGACGACAGTGACAGTTGCCCGCAGCACCCCACGCGCCAGAAGCGGCCACTTCAGCTGGAGGCCTACCTTGAGCCCATGCACATTGGGCAGCATGTTCTCCTCCGGCACCACCACGTCCTCCAGCACGATCATGCCGGTGGTGGAGGCGCGCAGCGAGAACTTGCCCTCGATCTTGGGCGTGGTGAAGCCCTTGCTGCCGCGCTCGACGATAAAGCCGCGGATCTTGTCGTCGTCGCACTTGGCCCAGACCACGGCCAGGTCGGCGATCGGCGAGTTGGTGATCCTGGGGACGGGAGGGGAGGGGTCTGGGTCAGCGACGGAGGCCGATGGTCGCGACCTCCATCGCCTGGTGACGCGTCGGTGGCGAGGGCAAGCGCGTCTGTCGTCCGATACGAGCGAACAATGGTACGTCCGAGGAATGGAGCCGTTGCAGTGAATCTGCATCGGAGCCATAATGACGGTGAGAGAAGCTCACGAGGACAAGCTGACAGAGCCGCAGTTGAAGACATGCTATCCGATCTACGGTTCGCGCACTTGCCGCTTTCAAATCCTTCAACGAAGGAACCACTGTCCGTAGCCTGCACGTTGCTGGTCCGTCGCCGTCTCCACTGCCTCCTCCCTCCCGCCTAACCCACTCTCACACGGCGACCGTGGGCGCCACTGACCATGTTTTGGATCCGTTGAGCAGGTAGACGCGGTCGGAAGCCTGGTAGCGGGCGCGCGTCTCCATGCCGGCCGGGTCGGAGCCGTGGTTGGGCTCTGTGAGGCCGAAGCAGCCCACCAGCTCGCCGCGGGCTGCCGGCAGGGTAGCGCCGCTGCCTTCAACCACCACGCGCACCGCGTGGCTGGCGCAGCGAGCAAGCCGCCACGCTACCGGGCTCCTCGATGGAGAACTCCTCTCAGGTGACTGGGCAGCATGGTGACACAGGTTCAAAAACGTTCTTTGAGACCGTTTTTGGTGATATGAATACAGCGCGGCGTCATAGCGGCCAACTAGAACAGCCCAGGAAGACCTACTGATGGTGGGCAAGACACAACCCACAACCGGTGACGTCTTACCGAGTTTGGGAAGGAACCTTTGTCGCTGCTCTTCCGTTCCGTAGTCATATATCGGATACATGACCAGCGACGACTGGACGCTCATGGCAGACCTGCGCTCAGTGGTAGTCTGTCAATCACTGGGCAGGACGGGAATGTGGCGTGAACGGGGTCAGACGGGCCGAGACGACCCGGTGTTCGGGGGGCGACTGCACCAGTTACGTCATGTCCTCCCGACAGGGGACCACAACGGACCGGGGGGCGTCACCACGGACCAACGGCACTGCAGCTGACAGCAGAGCGATTCAGCGCACTCATGCGCCCCGCGCTGTTCCTCGGCCGAGTCTCCCGCGACGGCGGCTGGCAGCCACCGACCTGTAGGCGCTGTCGACCCGCTCCACCTCGCGGGCTATCAGGCCGTATGCCACGGAGGAGACGCCCGGACAGCCATAGCCGTGGATGGTGGGACCCAGCACGCCCAGCTGGCCCATCTCAGTCATGATCTCTCGGTGAAACACTGCCCGACAGAGAAGACAGAGATCAGCCATCATCTCCAAGACTGACAAAAAGTGACTGCAGCCTTGCTATTATAGGGGACATAACACAAGTGTACAACACTCACTTATTATGTTTTAGGATTTCATATCTACAATGGATGTCTTTATGAGATTGCTTTCAGGCATCCCTGAGCACAACTAGATTGATGATGCATAGGGGGCACAACTATGAGAGTTGCAACTGGCATTTCAGCTCAGGCAGCATTCTAAAATGCATCAGCAGTTGACCAACAGCCTTCTCACCTAGCCATTATAGGCATGACAAATGGCCTAGGTGGGTTCAGAAAGTGCTACCTTCATTTCTGTTGGCCATGATGATTCTGGACATCAGTTTCTCCTGACAATATTGTTTGAAGGTGTCTCGAACCATAATTTCTTCTTCAGTTAGCTGGCTGTCAATGTTAAGTGCATCTGTCCAGTCAAATTTGGCCCATTGTGTTGGCTTTCTCCCAGGTTGTTTCTCCACTGCTGTAACATAAAAATGATAGCTTAATGCATGAAACAACAAATAACAAACAATTGGTTCTTAGTATACAAACAATTAACACAGTAATGAAGATGACAGAACAACCTTTCACACTAAACCAGTCTTAAGATCAATGATGACATAAGCTATACAAATGAACTAAAACCTTACTTTTTTACTCAGGAGCTGAAACCCATTCCAATTATCCTGTCATCATGCAATCATCACATCCTGGAGATGTGGCACATGCACAAGATTCCACATGATTCATGTGGACACTTGCATACCTGGTTTATTGCTCTGGTGATGTGCACAGGCTGAAGAGAAAGCATTAGATAGAGGGGCCAGACCAGTCTTTGGTCTGAGGATAAGCTGTCCTAACATTCCCAGTGCCTTGGTGGAAGACATCATCTGAAACAAACATTGCATCAGAGCCACCAGTTGGCTCCAGAAATAGGAGTGAAAATAGAGAGTTGAAAACTTGCTAAATAATAATAATGTGCCCTAATTGCCAAAGGGACCTTACAAATATGTCCTCTCACTATCTGACATACTACAGGGGCAGTCTGTTGAGGAAGTCAGAGGCATGACATGGGAAGTACTTCAATGATTATTGGCACATGACAACACAGACACCAATGAGATGCTTTGGGTGGCTGCAATGTGTCATCTACTGGTGAAGCACCCCTTGCCCTACAGCACCCTACCAAGATATTAACACAACCTACCAGTTCCCAGACCGGTAAGGCTAAGCATGGCATATAACCCTGAAACAGCTCTGTAGGTACTTTCCAGTTTCAGATGTTTATTATACACCCAGTGGCATATCCAAGGAGAGGGGGCTTTTGGTCCTCACACTACCCCTTCCCCGCTTCACCAGAGGAAGTGGGAGCTCCTTGAGGTTGTAGGTCCCAGCACTTTTAGGCAGGCCCTCGAGACATCAACATGAGTAACCGAGCCTAGAAACGTCGACGGAAAACAAACACGTGACCCCTTTAGCGAGGAACGGAGGCCCCTTTGCGACAATTTGGTCCCCTCTTCGGCAAAATCCTGGCTATGCTACTGAACGTACCTGCACCCTAAGAAGGCCGGCACACTATGTTCCCACTTCGTCGGGTGTTCGGAAGACTTCTCGGCTACTTACTTTTCTTCAAACCTTATCCACCCCGCGTGACGCCAAAAGTCCCCCGACCTCCCCAACGTAACACCTCCCCGCTCCCGCCCGCGAGAACGTCGCGGGACCCAGTTCCTGCGCGAGGGGGGGGGGGGCGGTAGAAGCCTTGACATGATAGAGATGATGGTTATGTAATGCATCATAAACCGTTCATGAACTCAAAGTCAAAAAGATGCATTTGAATAAATACTTATCATATTCTTTTTTGTTAGTTTTTTATTTTATCCCCATAATCTAACAAAAAACAACCAAAAAAATGCTAATCGAAGAAGCTCTTGAGTACATTTTATGCCAAGTTCTCCGCACTTGTTTGTCAGCTGCGGCTCCTGTTGTGGAGACGAAGTCAACGCGTGGGGCATTGATGGGAGATAGGCCGCTTTGTTAAATCATGACTCAAGGAGCTGTTTGCGCGCAGGAAATGGAGTGGCACCCAAGTGAAGATGGCCTGAAGCAGATATTGCAGTTGTTGAAGGAATCCCAGTCTCCTAATACGGAAACGCAGACGGCTGTGCAACATGTATCCTTTCGTGTTTTTTTACTGCTAGGGACTGCGTCATCCTCAGAGGATGGCTGCCTTAGTCATGTAGGCGTTATGATGTATATACGGTGAGCGGAGCATTTATTAGCTGTTAGCCCTCTAGATCTGAGAAATTATGTGCCGGAGGCTGGCACCGAATTTCAAAATTTTGATGTGCGTCATCTTTGTCACATTTTGTGCCTATCGTATTTTGGAATTTATCATTCACTCACTAGGGTGGTCATCTGTGTCTATTATTGGAGTAATGGTAGTAGTTTCATTGTAGCTATACAAATAAAATTGTGGCATTATGTTTTGATGATGTGGTTCTATTCAGTCTACATCATGGAGAGTGCAATAACCTGTTTTTCCACCAACATGTGTTTAGTTGTGGCTAGAATATGATTTTTACCACTTTTCAGTAAAATGAACAATTTGTTTCATAATGCTACATAACATTTTTGATATGCAGTGCCATTTATAAAGATATAGTCAAAGCAACAATCTCACATGTTGTTGCAAAGGAGTATTCCAAAATTATAGAAGGTTTCTGATTCACCAATAATTTTGTCCTGAAAGTCAACATCATTTTCAGTTCTCTGAACCTAAATACTCAGAGCATTATAAATTTTACCTCATGACAGTTTATATGAACTATTGTTTGATATTTGAGTGGAGCAGTGACTGTGGTTTGTGAAGTGATTGCTGTAGCTTATGCTTTAACACCAGTGTGTTTAACACAGGTTATACATTAGTGAACTTTGGTGATATGTTTCATTACTGTTTAAGATGCATGCACTGCCATAAAAACTCCAGTGCTAAGTACTTCAGTATTTTTGTTACTGTACATGCTGAATTAAGCAAGGTGCTTCTACCTTACTGTCATGCATTATCCTATTGTTCTATCACTGACTTGAGGATTTCATTATGTCATTGTCTAGGTACTCCTGGAAAGGGGCTGGAAAACACACTCAGCAGAAAATCATGCTGCATAAAATGGGAACACATCCTTTCTTTTGTACTTCATGCTACAGTTTTGTGAAAGCACGCTGAATTGATTAGTGGTTAATATGCCCCTTTGCAGAGGGGCAGTATATATGTCCCTTTGCATCAGGAGCCTTCATTTTTGGGAGGGCTGTTTTTGACTAGAATAAAAATAGAATGAAATCAACATGTGTGGTAACAGCGCCAAAGATTTTCTCCATTGCCTAACAGGAGATGGTAAAAGACCTTTGGCAGGCATATATGGCAGTCACAACATATTGTTATGAAGGTTTCTGCCAAAATATGGGAAAATATGTATGTGTACCTAACTGGTTCTCAGAGGCACCATATTTTTTATTGATAAACTTAGCAGATTCTCCTAACTGAAATATACTTTTGCTGTTGTTGTGGGAGGGTTCATCTGAACCTTAGGGTATTTTTTTGCTGCTTCCTTTTTCATTAAGGAATGATTGTGATAATCAAGATATGTCAAATAAAAGGGAATTCATTTTTTTCTCCAGCTTTGTTATGTCCTTAACTCAGGTTCCAGAGACTTGAAGAGCTTAACAAGTACCCAGACTTCAACAACTTCTTGGTATTTGTTCTCACAAAGCTGAAGACTGAGGGTAAGTGTGGCCACTCAGCACCTGCTTGTTACTCACACATCTGTGCCTTTTTTGTAGTTCATGCCTTTTAAAGCTGTTTGCATGATTGTTGAACATTTGAACTAGTGGTTCAGCAAAATAAGAATTCAGCAGATGTGGCTTTTAGTGATTTAGTTAGAATGCCTGACTTCTGTTAAAGCATGGGCACAGTTGACACTGACAGCCTTGGTGGTGCAGATCATCTGCTGTCAGAACAGTGTCATTGGTACCGTCATTGTCCTCACCTGATTTGGTTCATAGCATTGTATTATAAGCTGTGCTTGCTGATTGTAGTGGGTCTCCTTGCACTGGTTGGTTGGAGTGGCAACTGGGAATAGATGCTCAGTTGTGGGACCAGATGATGTATGAAAACTTATCATGAAGCTGCCCTGGTGTGTGTGATATAATTCGGTATTAGCTTAACTTTGTATGTGGCTAGTGCTCTCTGAAGGTGCATGCTTTTTGCTGTCAGACCTTATTAACCAGTATGGATTTGTGGCTGAATTGCAGGGATGGTGGTAATGCCCCATTTTGTCTGTTCATTTGGGTTTGATTGCTCATGAGAACAAAGTGGTGGTTTACAGTAAAGAAGATGAACAAAGAGGTGATGATGATCCAAGATCAGTAGTGTTTGGGAGCACAGAAATTGTTCATTTGTGTTATGTGTGTGGCCAATGACATTTGATGAGCCACTGCCAGTCATAGTAATGGGGCTTTCTGGCACCTTGGCTGCATGACCATATGGTGCTCAGCTTTGCAGCAGTCATTGGCTTGTTTAGCTGTGATGATTTATACAAATATATATAATGGATTGCTAGCTGTGATGATTTATACAAATATATATAATGGATTGCATTACTTGTTCAGAAGTTTCACCAAATGGGTGATGCACTAGGTTAGGTAATGGCAGATGTTTAGGCTGGTTAGGTAATGGCTGATTTTTGGGCTGCCATTTGTTGAGTCAATGAAGGTGATGGCTGATAGGATGAGAAAGTGCTTGGAGAATGTTTAATGTTGATTGCAAACAGATTTGTGTGCTGAATGCAGCAGGGGGTTCACTTTTGGCTTCATTAATTGTGTTGTCTCAGAAACAGCACATTATCCAATGACTGGCTATGCAGTTATGCACAACATGATGCTGTATGGTGAAAGTGATTGTGAGAAAGCAATGTGTGGGTGGGGAAAGTGGTAGTGAAATCAGAATAATTTATAATGATGCCATTTTGAGACAGTGTGTGAAGGCTACAGATACTAGTGAGGTTGGCTAAATATTATTTTATGATGCTTGTCAGTGGTCGTGCAAGGCTGATCATTCTGCAGAGAGTTAGTGAAGTCAGTGACTATGGAAGACCATTGTCTGAGAAGATCCCTTAACAAGAGAGGAAAACATGCCAAGATACACATAGTCATCGAGATGGTGATGGTCCAGATTGTGATGAACAATGATCATTCTGAAGCACTCATGATTCTTGTGTTTCAGATGAAGCTACTCGGTCACTCAGTGGGCTGATACTCAAGAACAACGTTCGGACATACTTTCAGAAGCTGCCACCTCAGGTGGCCAACTTTATCAAGCAGGAATGCTTGAACGCAATAGGAGACCCTTCGCCCCTTATCAGGGCCACCATAGGTAAGTGGCTTCATTACAAATGCACCAAGTTAAGATTCCACAAGAAATATGTTCACTGTGGTGACATCATCATGTGCTGGTATCTGCGGCTGATCAGTAATTGAGATGGCATGTTCTGAGCAATGCCCTGAGCATTATGATCCCTTTGTTATATGGCAACTTGAGTTTGTTCCACACAAAAACAAAACCATGGGTGTCAAGCACGTTGGGCATAGGACGGGTGGCTTCCTCACGGCACGTTTGCCGCCTGATGATCAGAAGACATGTTGTCCCGATCGCTTCGCCATCGGGGTGTCGTCTCAGTGGGCCGACACTGCCCTCCGTGTGGAGCCCGCCCCCGCCGCGGCTCCGTGTCGGCCCGTCTGGCCGTGACCTCTGACCCGTGACCGACGCCGCCCGGCCCGCTGCAGGTATTTTAATCACGACGATCACGCAGAAGGGCGAGCTGACGTCGTGGCCGGAGCTGCTTCCCCAGCTGTGCAATCTGCTCGACTCGGAGGACTACAACGTGTGCGAGGTACGGGTGGCGCCGGCGGCCGGCCGAGCGCGTCCGGAGCCCGGCATCGATTGCTCGCCTCTCTATGGCTACCGGGAGTCGGTCGCCCCCTCCTCTTCCGGAGAGGCGCGTGCCATTTATAGGCTGTCGGAGTTCGCTAACGGTTCTCGGAAGGCGGCGGCTGCACGGCCGGCGGGCTCGCGTGCCGGTCTGATCTTCTCTGTGTGACGTCATCGCTCCGCTGGGGTGGTGCTGCCGCTCTGCTGTTGTAACGACACTGGGCTGCCGCTGAGATGGCACCGCCCTGGCGCTGGGACGTCGCCGTTCTGCCGGTGTCATGTTGCTGCTCTGCCGCTGTGACGTTACCGCTCCGCCTCTGGGATATGTCGTTTTGCCGGTGTGACGTCACTTATGCTAGCCGCGGTCGCCGTCTCGTCGCAGTTGGTTTTTGTCTTGTGTGGGGCTCGGAATTGGAGAACGCAAAATTTGAACCACTCTGACAGTCAAGGGTAAACAGTCAGTAGTTAAGCATTATGAATGCTGGTAAATCATCCTTACGGCACTTTGTATTCAGACGAAGTCCGCACAGCTGGCATGCAGAATTACAAAGAGGCTTTCAAAATAGCTGTCCCGCAACAGTCCCATCAAGCAGGCTGTCACATCCTTGAGCAAAGGAGCAGAGTTCGTGACATATGGACGGAGACAATTCGGCAAGAGGTCAGTGCCCATCGCAGTGACGGCGTGGTGGCGCGCCTAGGTGTGACGTTCACCGCCGTTCCAGGGAGCTTTCGGAGCGCTGCAGAAGATTTGCGAGGACTCGACCGAGATGCTGGACAGCGAGGCGCTGCCCGACCGACCGCTCAACGTGCTGATTCCCAAGTTCCTGCAGTTTGTCAGGCACAACAGTCCAAAGATCCGGTGAGCCGCCGGCCAGCTGACCCCGGCCGGCGTGGATGATCTGGTGGCCGGCCAGGGGACATGTCGGATTTGTTTGGCTTGGATGGGGGCTCGTTTCTGATAAAGGGGTGGCGTGTGGTGGCAGCATTGGCATCCATAATTCATGCTCAGCTCCCGGCCCGCAATTTGATTGAGTTGCTTTACGTGTCATTCTCGTTAAAAAGCACGCGAAGCGCCTGCTCCGCATCCGTATAACTGACGCGGTAAGTGCTTGATTATTTCGCCACTCAGCCATTCGTAGCTTAGGAGCATGCCACCTGTGATTTAGTAGGCTCCGGTTGGATATGGAGAATGGAAGGTTCAACACGCCGGTGGCCCGGACCCTATGACCCATGAAACTATGATGCCCTGGTCCATATGACGGCCGACCCCAATGACCCCAATGACCCATGAAACTATGATCTTCTGGCCCATATGACCCCTGACTCTGATGACCCCGACGACCCCAATGACCCACTGACGTCAATGATCCACTGGCCTCGATGACCCACTGACCCCTGACTCCCGGTTGCTGCTAGGTCGCACGCCATCGCCTGCGTCAACCCGTTCATCATCAACCGGACCCAGGCGCTGATGGTGAACATCGACACGTTCGTGGAAAACCTGTTCCACTTGGCGGCCGACGAGGACGCCGAGGTGCGCAAGAACGTGTGCCGCGCGCTGGTGATGCTGGTGGAGGTGCGCATGGACCGGCTCATCCCGCACATGAACAACATCATCGAGGTGAGCGTGCGCCCGGTGCCAGGCCCGGCGGCCCGGCGGGGTGCGCGGAGCTGGGGTCGGCGCCTCTGGCGCCGGCAGCCCGCTGGCCAGCCGGCTGTGACGAACCGGCTTGTGCCCGGCTGGGCAGCGGCGCTAACTGACCGGCCTCGGCTGCAGATGCGGCCCTGGCCGTAGCCGGCGCATGTGCCCGTGCTGAAAATGGGATGGAGGTGATAACTGAGGAAAATTTGGACGTTTTGTTGTCAGCTAAAGGCGGCTTGCGAGAGATCCACGCGTCGTACTCGGGTATTAATGAAACACATCTCAGTCGTAAAAAAGCCTGCATTCTGTTCAGAAGCGTCCAGAATGTTGCAAACACTACCCTTTCGTGCTTGGCACACCGCAGCGCTCTCTGTATAGCCTTCTGTGCGGTGCGGTGCCGTCCCTGACCCCCCGCCCCGCCGGCCGGCAGTACATGCTGCTGCGGACCCAGGACCCGGACGAGACGGTGGCCATCGAGGCGTGCGAGTTCTGGCTCTCGCTGGCCGAGGAGCCCGTATGCAAGGAGGCGCTGGCGCCCCACCTCAACCGGCTCATACCGGTGCTGGTGCGCGGCATGAAGTACTCCGACTTCGACATCATCCTGTTGAAGGTGAGGCGGCGTCTGGCTCACGATCGGCCCTGTCGCGCCGCCGATGGCGTGTGTCTGGCTCACGATCGGCCCTGTCGCGCCGCCGATGGCGTGTGTCTGGCTCACGATCGGCCCTGTCGCGCCGCTGATGGCGTGTGTCTGGCTCACGATCGGCCCTGTCGCGCCGCCGATGGCGTGTGTCTGGCTCACGATCGGCCCTGTCGCGCCGCTGATGGCGTGTGTCTGGCTCACGATCGGCCCTGTCGCGCCGCCGATGGCGTGTGTCTGGCTCACGATCGGCCCTGTCGCGCCGCTGATGGCGTGTGTCTGGCTCACGGCCGGCCCCTGTCACGCTGCTGATGGCGTGTGTCTAGCTCACGGCCGACCCTGTCGCGCCGCTGATGGCGTGTGTCTGGCCCTCGGCCGGCCCCTGTCACTCCGCTGATGGCGTGTGGCCGACCCCTGTCGCGTCGCTGATGGTGTGTGTGTGGCCCGCGGCCGGCCCTTGTCGCGCCGCTGATGGCGTGTGGCCGACCCCTGTCTCGTCGCTGAGGGCTGATAGCGCGTGTCTGGTCCTTGGGCCCCGGGAACGATGGCTTGACTGTCGGCCGCTGTGAAGCCTGATGGTCAGCGCTAGTTTGGGTGGCTGACAGTGGGAGTTAGGTCGGGAACGCGGTGGGATTTTATTGACGTGTAAAAAGTGACAGGTGTGCCTCTAGGGGGAGTGATTTAGTTGCGCTTCGACGAATGTATTGCAGTGCAGGTCGCTGAGCAATTTTGGATGTCTCATTGCTCTATCGATTTTATTAGTTGGTCGCTTTAGTTATGGCCGCTCACAAGGGAAAACTGGCGTGCCATTATTCGAGAAGATATGGCCGACAGTCGGCTTGATAAGCGACAGAAGGGTGTGGAATTACTGCTCGGGTACACGGGTCAAAACACGATAGGCGCTAAGTGGCTAAGATGGAGTGAGGTCAAAAACGTTGGCAGTGGGAAAGACTTGAAGGAAAGCACATGTTTCTGTGGCGTTTCGTAACACCACTGTGAGGTAAGCGGGTGGGGGGGGGGGGGGGGCTAAGTCGCCTTGGAGGTCTTTGCAGTAATTCTCAGGTGTCCTGATCGCCTACACGTCATGCGAGCTCCTTTAACCCTGCCCCTCTACCTCGACACAACTCCTGGCTGGTGCGCGCGCCCTTTGGCCCGTCATCACCGCGTCCTGCGACTAGGTGCCCGCTGGCCTTGGTGCGGCTCTCCTCTCCACCGTCCGCCGGGACGGGAGTCCGGGTCCGCTCGCTGTCCGCCCACTCGGGTCCCAGCGGGCAGCGCCGGGAACCGAGCCGTGACCGCCGTGTGCAGACTTCTCGACTTGACGTTAGCGCGGCCGACGTGGGCGTTTGATGGATGGCTGGTGGGGCGTAAAGGGAGCTCGTGCGCCACCTCGATCCTTCGTCTCCGCCGTCCGGTGGTGGGCATGTGCTATGTCTGCACGTCCAGTTCGTGTTGTGTGGGGCGGTCCGCGGTGGTAAGTGCCGGCCCGGGATCACTGCTCCGCGTTCGGTGCTGTGCTCGTGACTGGTGAGTGTTGTGAACAACGCACTGGCTGGTGTCGGGTCCCACGTGACTGATACTCTGGGACTGACACCGGTACACTGGCGACAGACTTGACGCATGCCGAGCCCGACGTCTGGGGGGGAGGGGGGGGGGGGGGGGGGGGCAGGGGACTATTTACAGACGCGTGCGACTGTAAACGGCATCGGAATGAACATTCGTGCGCTCCTGGAAGCGGCGGCCGCGACAGTGTGCCGCATCGGGAGCGGATTCTGGACACCTGAGGTCTGCTCGGAGCGCCGTGCGCTGACCGGCGGGCGGCCGTCTGGCAGGGTGACGTGGAGGAGGACGCGATGGTGCCGGACCGGGACGAGGACATTCGGCCGCGCTTTCACCGCTCGCGCACCCACCAAGTGGAGCACGAGAGCAACGGCGCCGGCGAGGCCAGCAGCGGCCTGGAGGACGCCGACGACGCCGACGACGGATACGACGAGGAGGGCTCGCTCTCCGACTGGAACCTGAGTCAGTGTCGGCCGGCGACGGGCGGAGAGCACCGCCCTCGCCCTCGCGCCGGGCAGGGGTCCGATGTGGAGGCTAGGGCAGAACACCCTGTAACTGGAGCGGGGGTCTGGCGTTCACGGAAGAAAGGGGCCTGCGCCACCCTTACGCTGGCACCTTGGTCAATGATGTGCAGAGATTTAGGACTCCCCGTCATATTTGGCAACACTTCAGGGGCCAGAGCGTTCACCGCAATGGAAACCCCCTGGTGGAGACGGAGTTCGATGTTTCGACTGAGCCCAGGGTCGGTGTGGCCGTTGTCCGCAGGCGTTGTGTGGTTTCGGGGACCCTGGCCTCGAAGCGAAGTCACCAGATTGGTTCTTTCCAGCCGTACGCACCGGCCGCCGTCGGGCCTGACGGCTGTGCTGAGCCTGTGCGCCCGCACCCGCAGGGAAGTGTAGCGCCGCCGCCCTGGACGTGCTGGCCAACGTGTTCCACGGCGACCTGCTGCCTGTGCTGCTGCCCATCCTGAAGGAGACGCTCTTCCACCAGGAGTGGGTGGTCAAGGAGTCGGGCATTCTGGCACTGGGAGCCATCGCCGAAGGTAGGCGGGTGTTGGCTGCCGGCTGGGTCGAGCTATGGGCGCTTGGGCCGATGGGAGCGGTTGTCGGCTGTTCGCGACTCTGATGGCGAGTGGGGCACGTCCCTGACCTTGATGGCGGGTGGGGCACGTCCCTGGCTCTGATGGCGGGTGGGGCACGTCCCTGACTCTGATGGCGCGTGGGGCACGTCCCTGACTCTGATGGCGCGTGGGGCACGTCCCTGGCTCTGATGGCGCGTGGGGCACGTCCCTGACTCTGATGGCGCGTGGGGCACGTCCCTGACTCTGACGGCGCGTGGGGCACGTCCCTGACTGATGGCGGTTGAGGCACGGCCCTGGCTGTGATGGCGGGTGGGACAGGTTCCTTGTGTTCTAAAGTGCAGTGTACGTCAGGGACATGAGACATGAGAGGACAATCCAGCTGGAGAGAAAGAGGATGGGGAGGTGAGTTAAAACTTAGAAGGGATGGGAGCGACTGATTATCGGTTATCATTCCAGCATACCGTTCTGCCCATTGTCAATGGAAAAAGAGAGGATATAATGGGGGTGAGAGCAGAACACTATTTCCCGTTTAGGTGGTACCTTCCACCCGCCTTCTCCAAAGCTGGGATGCTGTGTGACTGGGCGGCCGTCGTGAGAGCTGGACCCGCATGACTGGTGTGTATGCCGCGCATGGCGGCGCGTGCGGCGGGCTGACCCGTCGGCCCCCGGACAGGCTGCATGGGCGGCATGATCCCGCACCTGCCGGAGATCGTGCCGTACCTCATCAACTCGCTGTCGGACAAGAAGGCGCTGGTGCGCTCCATCACCTGCTGGACACTCAGCCGCTACTCGCACTGGGTGGTGCAGCAGCCGCACGAGCAGTACCTGAAGCCGCTCATGGCCGAGGTGGGTGCGGCGCCGCCGGGCAGATGGTGCCTGGCGGGCCGCAGCTCTGGCGGGCTGCGCCGCTGTGGACACGACTCGCACCCTGTCGCCTGGCGCTGGATCGGTGGCGCCGGCTGCGGGCTGTGGGGTTGAGGGGAGAGGATTGCGTGCGTTTTTATCGTGAGGGGATTGGGTTGAATAGGGAGGCGTGGGGATGAATTCAGTCGGACATAGTTAAACAGCCTTGGCGCCGGCTGTCGTACTCGTGCTCAGCGCTTTCCCGTTGTGAAACACGGACCGTTCGGGCGTCCCCCGCACGGTCGCCGCCTCGCTGCTTTGTGGCGACGAGGCGCGCTGTCCGGCGGCGTCTGCGCCCCGCCGTCGTCCGCCCTCACGCCGCGCGCTTGTCTCCGCAGCTGCTCAAGCGCATCCTGGACCCGAACAAGAAGGTGCAGGAGGCGGCGTGCTCGGCGTTCGCCACGCTCGAGGAGGAGGCGTGCACGGAGCTGGTGCCCTACCTCGGCTTCATCCTGCAGACGCTCGTGTACGCCTTCAGCAAGTACCAGGCCAAGAACCTGCTGATTCTGTACGACGCCATCGGCACGCTGGCGGACTCTGTCGGCGTTCACCTGAACAAGCCCGAGTACATCGACATGCTCATGCCGCCGCTCATCGTCAAGTGGAACGTGCTCAAGGACGAGGATAAGGACCTGTTCCCGCTGCTCGAGTGCCTCTCGAGCGTTGCCACGGCGCTGCAGAGCGGCTTCCTGCCGTACGCCGAGCCCGTGTTCCGGCGCTGCGTCTCGCTGGTGGAGCAGACCATCAACCACACCGTGGTACGTGGCCGGCCCGGCGCCGCCCGCTCAGGGGCCACAGTCGGCCGCACCGCGGCTCGCTCGTGCATGGTTGTGGAGTGAACTTTGTGGGTGTGGCTCTGGGACGCGGGTTGTCTCACGTGATTGCCTTTCCGAGTCATCCAGTGAGGCTCCCGGGACATGTGGTGGCTGCGCACTCCTGCCTCGTATCTGCCACTCAGCTAAGCGTCCACAGACTCCCGTCTCGTACCAGGGCTCGGCCGGGCGCCGCGCGCGCGCGCGTGATACACCCGGCCGGGGCCGCGCGGTCGTGCGCGATCTGTCGGGCGCACCACTTTGTGGCTCCGGCGAAAGGCGACGCCTCTCAGGCGCCGTGTCATCCGCAGGCGAACCAGCAGAACCCCCAGCAGGTGGACGCGCCCGACAAGGACTTCATGATTGTGGCGCTGGACCTGCTGTCGGGCCTGGCCGAGGGGCTGGGCGCGCACATCGAACCGCTCATCAAATCGTCCAACCTGATGCAGCTGTTGTACCAGTCTATGCAGGACTTCATGCCGGAAGTGCGCCAGAGCAGCTTCGCGCTGCTCGGTGACCTCACCAAGGCCTGCTTCCAGCATGTGGTGCCGTGCATCGGTGAGTGGGGCGACGCCGGGGAATCGCCGATCGATGCGTGGCTGCTGCGCGCCGCTGGCCGTGCTGTCATGACACGGTCGCTCCGGCAGCCGGCGTGTCAAGCGCCGGTGGTGGCCTCGGGCACCAGCTGCAGGAGTTAGCCCTCCGTGCCACCGACGCTCGGGAGAGTAACCGCTTGGCGTGCAGCCGGCAGGGCACCAAATCTGCCGAGGGTCCGAGTTCTCACGCCGTCACTTTTAACGCTATTTGTTAGTAACGCAAGACGCGATGTGCATTCAGATCTTGCATTGCGTGACAGTACGGATTTGCAGAAACCTGTCCGTAATGTGCTAATATGGCCCCAGCTATGGCGTGAAGTGAAATGAGCTGCCTCACGTGACCCGAGCGTTGTTCTGGCGGACGTGGGCGGGGGCGCCGCTGATGACTGGCGGTCGGCCCTCCCTGGCCCGCTCTAACCCGCTCTAACCCCGGCCGGCCCCCTCTGACTCCGGCCGGCCCGCCCCGGCCCGCCCCGCCGCGTCTCGCCCCATCCCGCCCCGTCCCGGCCCGGCCCGCCCCGGCCAGCCCCTTCTAATTCCGGCCGGCCCGCCCCGGCCCGCTCTGACCCGCTCTAACCCCGGCCAGCCCCCTCTAACTCCGGCCGGCCTGCCCCGGTCCCGCTTGAACCCACACCTGATCTGGACTGCTCTGACCTCGCCCGGGCCGCCCTGCCTGCTCTGACCCCGCCCGGGCCGTTGACCCCTCCCGGCCTGCTCTGACCCGCTCGGGCTCGCTCTGACCCCGCCTGGGCCGTTGACCCCGCCCGGCCTGCTCTGACCCGCTCGGGCTCGCTCTGACCCCGCCCGGGCCCGCTCTAACCCCGCTCGGGCCCGCTCTAACCCCAGCCGTCCTTCGGCAGCCGACTTCCTCAACAGCCTGGCGCAGAACCTGAACCCGGAGCTGATCTCGGTCTGCAACAACGCCACCTGGGCCATCGGCGAGATCGCCGTTAAGATGGGTGAGTACCGGGCGCCCGGCGCCGCGGCTCCCGTTAAGATGGGTGTGTACCTGGCGCCCGGCGCCGCGGCTCCCGTTAAGATGGGTGTGTACCTGGCGCCCGGCGCCGCGGCTCCCGTTAAGATGGGTGTGTACCTGGCGCCCGGCGCCGCGGCTCCCGTTAAGATGGGTGTGTACCTGGCGCCCGGCGCCGCGGCTCCCGTTAAGATGGGTGTGTACCTGGCGCCCGGCGCCGCGGCTCCCGTTAAGATGGGTGTGTACCGGGCGCCCGGCGCCGCGGCTCCCGTTAAGATGGGTGTGTACCGGGCGCCCGGCGCCGCGGCTCCCGTTAAGATGGGTGTGTACCGGGCGCCCGGCGCCGCGGCTCCCGCGGCGGTGCGGTGTCCGTGGTCCTTCGCCGCGCCATTGTTCTGCAGTCCCGGGTAGTCCGCCTGCATCACTGAGTGGTTGCGCCCTCTTGCGCGGTTCGCGTGTGTTCATCTGACGTCAGTTCGTGCTGTCGTTTTGATTGGCCGTCGTGCGCGAGACGTTTGGTGTCGGAGCGCTGCGGGCGGGCTGGCGGCGGGGGCTCGCGCCTTGCTGAGACGGCGCGCACGTGCTCGGCAGGTGCTGATATGCAGGCGTACGTGCCGATCGTGCTGCCCCAGCTGATCCTGATCATCAATCGTCCCAACACGCCGAAAACGCTTCTCGAGAACACGGGTGAGCTGGGTCGCAGACCTCGGGAGCCCCCGCCACCTGGCGCGGGGTGCCGCACATAATACAGTAACACTGGTAACCTGTGTGGGAATGTCGCTCAAACTTGATGATATAGTGACATGTACAATTTTTGCGACTTAAATTTGACTCATGGCACTCATCTGATGTGGAAGAGTGTGAGATGCTTGTATACTTATTGCCGCAGATCACTGCTTGGTATTGATGCTGTCGTACGTGCCAACTGCGTCGCGTGTTTGCCTCTTGGTTTTCACCAGTTCTGCTTGTAGTCGCCGTTCAGCAATGTCCGCTTCACTTAAATCGAACGGCTGATTTTATTGATTTCGGTAATCATGTAACCAATGACTTTGGCGGCGTTCGTTTAGAGTTTTGCCGTTGTTGTGTATGAGTTGTAGTTTGTAAACGTGTGCGTTTTTTCTTTCTTTTCCGGTCGGTTGTAGCCATAACTATTGGTCGGATGGGGCTTGTCTGTCCCAAGGAGGTGGCGCCGCATTTGCAGCACTTCATTCGCCAGTGGTGCGTTATTTTTGGATCTCTTCTCCTACGTTTCACGGGTTTGCCGAGCTGGTTGCTTGTTGTCGGGCGCCGGCCTACTACATATCGGTTTGCTCGAGCTCTGGTTTGGTTTAGAATGAGGAGATCTTTTTGACTTGTTTGCAGAAGTGTACTAGTGCCTGGGTATAATTGGCTATATGGTATTAATATGTTCATTTGCCATTCTCATTTGCTTAAATAAACCATGCGTGTATGTGGGATTCGGCACGTCGCGACGCGGAGAACGACAAAATAATGTGCTAAAGTACGAATCGCTCGATGCATCTTGACGTGTTAGTGAAGTGGACTTCCTCATAGTGCATTGGGCCATTGAATTTCACTCGCATAGATGGTCACATTCGCCGGCGGGATCCGTCGCACCACGCCTTGACCTGACCTGACCTGACCTGACCTGGCGTCAGGTGCACCTCGTTGCGCAACATCCGCGACAACGAGGAGAAGGACTCGGCCTTCCGTGGCGTGTGCCACATGATCACGCTCAACCCGAGCGGCGTGATCTCTGACTTCATCTTCTTCTGCGACGCCGTCGCCAGCTGGGTCAACCCCAAACCCGACCTCAAGGAGATGTTCCACCACGTGAGTGGACGGCGTCGGCGCCCGCGTGGTCCACGCGCTGGCCCCCCGCGTCAAGTGTTGCCTCTTGAGCTGCGCGCTCTCGGCGCCGGTGTCTGCTGCCATTGCCAGAGCTCGCCGGAGCCGTCCCGACTCTGGCCGTCGTTCTAGTGTCCGCAGTGGCTCGCTCACCATGCCGTGGAATGCTGTGACGAGTCAGGTCGTGCTTTGGCGGCAGGCAAGGTCGCTGCAGAGTTATGCTACCCGTATATCTTGCCTTAGCCCCAAAGCTCTGAAATGACCTAAAGAACCGGATAAATTCACACCATATCCAGAGGCCAGCCAGCACGTCGCCAGATCAGCAGCTGGCCCTGGCCCGGTTCTGGCGAGCGCCCCAGTCCCCCGGTCTCGCCGCGAGCCGCGGCTGGGGACCGTTTGCAGCTGTGCCGCGTGGCCTGACCGCTCGCTCCGGGGTTGCCGTCAGATCCTGCACAGTTTCAAGGACCAGGTGGGCGAGGAGAACTGGCGCCGGTTCAGCGACCAGTTCCCGCCCATGCTGAAGGAGCGGCTGGCCGTCAACTACAATGTGTGAGGCGCGTGCTGTTAGGTGAGTGCCTGGCCGGCTGCCGCCGCCGCCGCTGTCACTGAGGGTGGTTCTGTGGGGGGTGCCGCGCTGGACGGAGTGCCGTGTCCCCCAGCGTGCTCAGCCCAGGCGTGTTCGGCTCTAACGTACTGTAATGTGGCGCTTCCGTGCCTGATGTTGACGAGGGTTAGCGATGCTGCGTCGTTCATTCACTTGTCTGTGCATTGCCTGAATAGAGGTTAATGTATGCGATGTTCAAGGAATGAAGTCTCATGCATGTTCCCACACGAAGCTTTCTTTTAAGATTGCATGCAAGTTTCATGTTTGCCTCTCTTTCGTGATGGTTCTCTGTAGGGAGCTTCACCCTCGGGCATCTTGGTCCAGATGACAGGCGCCGCTGTGGCGCATCGTGCCACATGCTGCGACGCCGCCGTCAGCAGGGCCTCGCGGACCGTTGACCGCTGACCGCCGTCGCCCTCTGCCGGCAGGTATCTCAAATGTAGGCGGCCGCCGACGGCGCGCCGCCTGGGAGGGCGGTGTGGGGGCGACATATCAGACCTGGACGGGGAGGGATCGCGGCGCTATGTTAAGACACCGGCTGCGGCTGTCCCGGCGCGCGGGACGGCTGTCGCACCTATGTATAGACGGCGTGTCTCCTCTGCTCTCCCGATGTTGCCGGCTGGAACTCGGCTGCGTGTTTTAGTCTCCTCCGACGCGCACGCGCGCGCGTGTGCCTGATGTGTAGGGTGAGCAGCCCCCGCCACTAACCGCCGGGTGGGGTGGGGTGGGGCGCGGACTTCGCGGGCCGGGGATCGCGCGCGCGGCCAGGCCGGCACAACGCTCCCGCTTACCAGTGCTGAAGTGCCTTGGCTGTGATGACGTTCGAGCGGTTCAGTGTTCGCGGGCCAAATCTGTACCATAGTCGCGTTTGGTTGTTCCATTCTGCGCGCGGCGGATCGCGCGCCGCCGCCGTCGCCGGCCGTCCGGTATCGTTTCTACCGTCGTCGCGTTGCGCGTGCCGTCGGATCCGACGCGTCGTCGTACTGTGATAGGTCGCCGAACGCTCGTGTTTTAACGTATTTCAGGGACTCGTCGTTCACGTGTATTTATGTTGACTGCGTGCATGAGCGTATTTTTTATTTGTCATTTTGTCGCTGTGGGTCGGTCGGTCGCGAGTTCGGTACGCTGTCTCGTCGCGTCGCGGGGTGGGGCCGGAAACTCAGCTCTCGCGCGCTCTCTCGCGGGGTGGGGTGGCGCGGTACCACCGCCGGCCCGCCGGCCGGCTACCCTTTCCCCTCAGACCTGCACACCCGGACGGGCTCACCGGTAGGCGCAGCCGCTCACACGTAACACTCGCATGCGCGTGGATGTGCGCGCGACAGGGCGGGCGTGCGCCCGGCCGCCGGCGCGCGCACCCGTCGTGCCTCATATTACTAGTTCCTGTACAAACGCCTGTGTGTAGGCATTGTTACAGACGTGATTGTGCACTTGCCTTGCGATGCCTCAGCATGCTTTCTACGTGTTTCAAGTAATCGTCGTCGGTTACCTGTAGATGTAACTATTCCACACGTGTATGTTCCGATAGTCCTGTGATAGGAGCGCCGCGATGACCGGGCGGGCCGCGGTGCTCAGGTCATGTGATTTTACGCTTAGGAATGTGTGCGCGCGTGACTTGAATAAGCTTTCGTCCTCGCTGCTGGCAGGCTGCTGTCAGCAGGGCTGGTCGGGGTATTTTAAGGCAAATTTTGAGGCATGGTGTCGCCAAACGGGTCCCAGGGGGTGGGGGTCGGGGGGCAGCCCACGGGAAAATCAGCGGGATGGGGCGGGCCGGAGGGGGTAGCCGCTAAGCATACAATAAGGCTCGACGTTCTCTGTTGTAAGTTCCGAGACTAAATTTCCGTCTCCCTCTGTCAGCTGCAGGATGTGTCCAGGTTTGGCGATTAACTAGCAAATAAAGAGACCTCGTTCCGCTTGATGTCGCGGTTTTCTTTGGTGCAGAGGCGGGCGCCACCGGCTGGAGGCGCGACACGAGCTGACCCGGCCCTGCCGCGGGGCAATGCTCGGCTGAGCGCCACGCCGGGGTGAGAGCGTACCGCTGGTCGGACAGCTGCTGAACCGACAGTGTCCTGCTGTCCGGCTCCTGTGTTCCGCCCGTTTCGTGCGGGAAGAGGCGAGCCGTGTTTGTCTGCGTACCCGAAGAGCGGGCGCCATTAGCGGGTACAACTGGGCCGCTCTCAGCTGCTGATATTGGCGTCGCCTGCCTCTCACCATGGCAGGAAGGGGCGGCACCGCGGGGAATCGAACCCCGTACCTCTGGTTTCCCAGACGCGCAGGTGGTTAACGCACACGCGTGAACCACTACACTACCGGCACCCCCGTTGTACGATGGGTTGCGTGATCAGGCTGACCTAGATGCAATGGCCGAATGCTATATTCCTATTTCTCCCGCCTTTTGTTCATTTTATGTTATGTCAGTGGGCGTTCTAATAAAGAGATAAGGTAAAGCATTATTTATCATCATCTCATTTCGCAGGCAGTCACTTTAATCTCACCGCAAGCAGTCACTTACCGGGTATAGATTAATTCTTGTTTTTCTGCCGTAGTTCGCTGAAGCACGAGGTATCCGTTCAAATAAACTGGCTCCAACGCTGGCTGTCAACGGCAGCACAAATCGCTCAGAACGAGTGGGGATATAACTCACTTCAAGCAGTGAAGGAAAATTAATAATCTACATTTCTCAACAGGACAACAATGCGATATAATTTTGCTATCAATTAGCGATACTTTCCGAGGGTGTTTCGCTTTGCTCGGGACGCGCTGCCGCAGGCATTCGTCGTCTCCAATCCCCGCATTACCAGCGGATCCGCAGCGGACCTCCGGGTCACAGAACATCTTTGGGGCCATCAGGCGCTTCGTGCCTCTTGGCCACATCCGGCCGGCTATCTGGTCGCAGCCGTGGGCCATCTGGGACCGCGCGAGCGTTATTGAGGGGTTTTGGACATCCGGTCTGTGGTCTCAGGATCCTGTGAGAGTTCCATCAGTTTGCGGTTGTTGTTTCTCCACCATGCTGGCGTCCTCTTGCAACCTCTGTTTTGCCGGTCTTGTTCCCCTCTCGTCCGTCGCGGGGTCCCTTACCGCTCCGGTCTTCTGGAGGCGTTTGATTGGCTCAGGAGTGGTATGGAAAAAAAGTACCGTGATTTTTACCTTTACCATGTAGCGGGTGACTTAAAGAGGCCACTGAAGTTTGAATCCGAAAGGCAGCACCCCCCAAAGCAGCTGCGTGAAATCGCTGTGATACAAAGTAGATTGATCGCCAACGCCCTTCCTCGTTATGTAGCGTACGTTGGTCTCGCATGTGCGTGTAAAATAAGCTGTTCAGTTGATGGGTCGGTTCCCACGAGACATTCTCGGCCCTGGGACACTTAGCGGGGCCGAGTGGATTGAGGAGCCCCCGGAAAGTTGCAGCTGCCAGGAGTATAATAAGTCGCCGGGATCGCCAGGGGGCCCTAAGATCGCTGAGGGCGTCACTACGATGGCGGGGCAATGAGTCCGAAACGATTTAAAAGGCCCCGAGGTAACCAGATGCTACCAAGGGCATAGGGCGTAGGAACTGTTTCAAAAAGTTAGGGGGCCCAAGCTCAGGGCGCACTCCAGGAACTTTTTCTGGAAAACAAGCCCAGCGACCCGGGTGGGGGTGGGGGGGGGAGGGGGGGGGTGGTGGGGGGGTGGAGATGGAGATTATTGCTCTTTTTTCAAATGTAATGACTGCTATTCTAGATATGCACCTAGGGCTGTTCCTCGCCGGTGCACACTCTTGCCTATCCGACTCATCTATGTCATTCGGGAAATAAGGCTATCCAGCCTCCCAAGATAATTCTTCCATTTCAACTGTTGTCTGTCCTGGGGAGCCGAAATTCCACGAGCGAGGTAAGCAATTTGGGTCATTGAGGAGGCGTCTGTCTACACAGGGTAGATGCCAAAATATGGCCTGAGCATAAGCTGGTGAGAATTTTAAAAGGGAATCGGTGGCTCATAGTACAACAGACTGCATGTGCCTTCATTCTGCTGGCTGCTTTTTCACGAGATGAGACTTGTCGCGGCATTTTAGGCGGAAACAAATTCGGAAGCTTGAAACTGCCAAAAACCATGCGACAGAAGCCATAGAACTGGAGGTACTCCTTTGAAAATTAAGCCACAGAATGAAGACCATTCTGTCATATATTGCTTGTCTGAGCCCTGCTCCCATCCGCCTTCGGTGGCCACTGTCCTGGCCCGGCTGTCTCCGAATGACTGACCGCGAACTGATGGTATGGCTGCTTTGTTGCACATTTCTGGGTCAGCATTGCTACTATTGGGATGTAAAATATGTGCTGGACACCAGCAAAAGTATCTTTTTCCGAATTATCTTCCCTTACACTATACCACCCCAGAAAATGCCGCCGGCAAGCTTCCTACTATAGGTATGAATTGGCCCAACGGACATTTGATTGTCCGTCATTCAACGCAGATGACTTGATCTGCTTTTGCGTGCAGGCAGGGGGTAGTCAGAGCCTTGGTAGAGGAATACAGGGTTGACAAAATGGTGATCCCCCACATAACAATATCCCCGGATATAGTTTATTTGTTATTAAGGGATATGGTTTTCTTTGTTTCGTTGTTATTTTTACGTTGCAATCAGAACAAAAACCAGCAGGCGCTGTGAAATCAATACTGTTTACATTTTAAACATGCGGACGGGTGGCCGGGTAGATACCCTTCGCTAGGGTGGGGGTAAATTTGACCCGCTGAGATCTCGGGAAATAAGAGAGCTGGAGACACCAAATTCACAGGGCGTATTAACCTGTACGTGAGCTCACTTAGGTCAAAGTTTGAGGTTCCTAGGTCATGGCTTTTGAATCAAATAAGGTCAAACAAGGTCAAATTCCAGGTTGGCCTCTTAAGTGGCCCCAGAACCTAGATAACTGTTTCTAAGCAAAACGTCGCATGTTCGTTTGTCGGTGACCTTGTTTGACCTTTTGAAGGTCATGGTAACCAAAGTCATCCCAGACTACTCTGAGTTTTGCATTTGAATAAGCGAGAAAGATTACGCTAGGCAGCATGCTTCTAAAAACAAAATGTTGACATAGGTCATTTTAGGTTAATGACCTATTCTGACCTCTAAGAAGTCTATGGAAAATGTAAAATGTGGTTCCTGCTATCGACGAATTCGAAATCAGCACCAGAAACTATCCCATACGGCACGCCCTAGAGTAACAAAACAGGTTGGTTTTGACGTTTATCTGACCTCTATACCTGACCTTAGGTCAATGTTATTCGCTCATGCAATATTTGTGTTACCGAAGAAAGCATCTCAGAGATGTACGGCTTCGTCTAGCACTCCATTGTTGCATCAGATTGAAGGATTCCCTAGAAGTTGACTTCGCTGAAACCATGGCCTGACTTTGATCTGTCATAGGTCAGCGACCTTACAAAGTACATCTAATTTTTATGCTAAACGATCCGCTATTCAATTTTCTACAGCAAGGCAAGACATGGCGCGACTGCGCCGAGCCGTTCGGAAACCATTCTAGAAAAACCTTCGAGGGGCGAGTTAAGTTGAACCCCACCCGAGCGCGTGTTAAGGTCAATAAACAGCAGAAATCAGGCGCTTAACGACCGCATGGAATAAACGACCGTGTCTTTAATTTTCCATGGCTTAGTGGACTCTTTCTAAGCCGATGGAACTCAGAAGCTTTTCATAATGTTATATTTGCGTTCTACAAACATTGAGGACATCGCGAAGGTAGATTGTAGATCGATATGTTTGATCGAAATTTGAGGGTGAAAACTTTGTAGATCGAGTGGTCAACAACGTGTATTAACATCGCTAAGCCATGTTTGTCTGGAAATGATTAACATTCAGTCAGGATGAATTAGTGATGCAATTTATATAACGTGGTTTTGTCATGCGCGCTCGCAAATCTTAGCAACAAAAACCTCGACACCAGGCGCTGCAGTCTCCATAGTCCGCGGAGCGCTAGCTCAGTGGTTAACTTTTCGTCATGGTCCACCGGTGGACGAAAATGATAACGGTTCTGAAATAATTAGCTTTAAACACGTGAATCGGTTAGCAATAAAAGGTTATGTGACATAATTTTGAGCATGCGTACTCGCAAATCTTAGGTTAAAAAACCTCGACGCCAGGCGTTGCAGTCTCCGTAGGTCGCGCGGCGTCGGCTCAACAGCTCATATTGAGTTGTGGTCAACGGGTGGACGAAAATGATGGCGCTTCTGAAATAAGTACTTTTGGACGCTTCAGCACATCAAATCTTACATGTACAAGGCAGTCTGGGCGCATATTTCACGTGTGCGATTTTTAAACTGATGGTAAGAACAGATTGACCCTTAAAGCACAGCGAAGTGATCCTGGGATCTGGTGTTAGAACTGGAAGAGTATAGGTAGACTCTCTATTTTTCGTGTTTCTGTAACTATTAATCTGTCCAGAAGACAGATTAACACGGTGCCCGCAGTCTGGTGGCACTTGCAGTGGCCGACGTCGTTCCGTTTTACGGAAGCTGCAACGCACACCATCGCTGTCCTTGCTCTCGAGGTTGCGGGTGGGCATGTTCAAACCTTTTAATGCACTTTTTCACTAATCCATTCTGAAAAATGAGCGTTCTTAGGCAAACATGCGATGGCCTTGTTGATTTTTTAGAAAAAATTCGACCCAATCTTTTCACCA